CCCAGTGTGTTTTTCAAGCTGCCCAACCATGATTGGCCATGTGAAATCTATTCCCTTAATCAACCATTGTGCTACGGCACCAACTTTGCTGTGAATCTTGATGGAGTAAAATTTGCAATTGGAATCAGAAGTGTAACACAAAAAAGAATACATAAAGAACATATTTGGTTGCATATGCTGAGATAGGAGAATGAAGGCATGAAAGAGAAAAATCCACACTTTTGCTTGGTGTGGCTTAAGGGTAAGTGGTATCTTGACTACACTGTTCTCATATTTGCAGTTTATCTTAGTTTTTAAAGTCAGCCTTTAAAAAAAAATTGGGCTTTCTTAAATTTAAAAATATTTTAATAGATTTAATATAGGTACAACGAGGCTGATTTCATAACTTTTTTTAGCTATCAGTTCTCTTCATTGGAGCTGTTTAGATTTCTTAGTTTACCAGATAGGTGATTCTTATCGTGGTTTTGTGTTTATTGACTTCTTAAAAATGAAAGAACTAAAATTCAGACAAGAGTATTATGGGAAAATGCTGCCTCGAGAACCCAGAGACCTGACTTGGAGGCCTGTTATTTCCTAGCCACATAATTTTGGCCAAGTTTGGTTACTTCTTTGAATCAGTTTCTTCATCTGAAGAAAGAAAGGCCAGAACCCTCTTTAAGGCTAGCTTCTAATTGTCTGTGACTGTAATAGGTTAAGAACAAATGCTTTGGGCAGACAAACGCATAGTACATGAAGTTTCCGTTTTACTAGTAAGTGGTACACCAGATATTTTTAACATGTTAGCTCCCTAGAAAGGACGCTCCATTCCATAGCAATAGTTATTATGAAAGTAGTCCGTGTCTGTCTTCACTTACTACTGATAGTATACACCAGGTCCTAGAACAGTGCCCACTAAACATTTGTTAAGTAAATACAAATGGTCACTAAAGTTCTATAATTCTCAAACCTGTTTATTATACTATGTGTTGTGTGTGTGTGTGTGTGTGTGTGTGTGTGTGTATCTATCATGGATCCCACATGACCAGTTCCTGTGCGTGTGTGTGTGCGTATCTATCATGGATCCCACGTGACCAGTTCCTGTGCGTGTATGTGTGTCTCTATCTGTCATGGATCCCACATGACCAACTCCAGTCCAAGGCCTGGCCCTAGCTGCCTGGGAAATGGAAACATACTGGGCACCCGTGTGTGCATTTGCACATGTGCCTGGAGTCCCAGTGGGATGCAGAAATGGAGGGGAAGGTAGTGTGGTGTGACCATGCCCTACTGGGGGCGTGTTCTTTCTCTCTTACCTTCTCTCTGATAAGCACATGTGCCCTCTGGCAATTAAAAAAAAAAGAAGAATGAGAGAGAGAACAGAATCTAGTATAGACTACTAAAATAGCAATCTGGGATAGAGATGACAGTGATTATTGCCAGGAAGAAATGAAGTTAAGTGAATGGATTTGAAATGACCTTGGAAGTTAAAATTAGTAGCGCTTGAATGTGGAAGATGAGGGATGAATGTGGAAGATGAGGGATGAGTGTGGAAGATGGGGGATGAGTGTGGAAGATAGGGGATGAGTGTGGAAGGTGGGGATGAGTGTGGAAGATGAGGGATGAGTGTGGAAGATGGGGGATGAGTGTGGAAGATAGGGGATGAGTGTGGAAGGGGGGGATGAGTGTGGAAGATGAGGGATGAGTGTGGAAGATGGGGGATGAGTGTGGAAGATAGGGGATGAGTGTGGAAGGGGGGGATGAGTGTGGAAGATGAGGGATGAGTGTGGAAGATGGGGGATGAGTGTGGAAGATAGGGGATGAGTGTGGAAGGGGGGGATGAGTGTGGAAGATGAGGGATGAGTGTGGAAGATGGGGGATGAGTGTGGAAGATAGGGGATGAGTGTGGAAGGGGGGGATGAGTGTGGAAGATGAGGGATGAGTGTGGAAGATGGGGGATGAGTGTGGAAGATAGGGGATGAGTGTGGAAGGGGGGGATGAGTGTGGAAGATGAGGGATGAGGCATCAGGATCCTTCCCAGATTTCCAACATGTGGATCCATGTGGTGGAGCCTCTTCCTCAGGTGGACACCACTGACGCAGATTGGAGTCCAGTGGGGAGGACAGAGAACAGAGTAGAACGTTCTTTCCATTGCTGGTCCAAATTAGGAGAGGAGTAAAAGGTAAAAGAGTATCTAGATGGGTATGAGGAAGCTTATCCAAGAGAATTAATTGAACTATGATTTGGGGGAATTTAAGTGATAATTTCCCCTTAGGAGAACATTAAATAAGTGACAGGAAAAGAAGGGTAGATGTGAATAGTTGATGCTTTCAAGTAGCACTGTGAGTCCAGACATTTTTTTTTTAAGAATTATTCTATTTTATTTATTATTATTTTAATTTTATCTTTTTAGCTTTTGACCAGAGAGAGAGAGGGAAAGTGAGAAAGGAAGCAGCCAGATTTAGGACTTGAACTGTGGTCAGCCATATGGGAATTCCAGCGTCTTAACCACTATGCTACCTGTGAGCTCTTGGACACACTGATTTTTATCAAGTGGTGTGAGAGAGAGATGCCCCTAACATAGATAAAGGCAGATTGAAACTGTACATGGGGAGTATTTATAGAGTGATTACTGAGTTTTATTCTTTTTTTTTTATTTAGAATTATTTAATTTTATTTATTATTACTATTTTTTAATTTGACCAGAGAGAGAAAGAAGGAAAGTGAGAAAGCAAGCCACCACGTCCAGGACTTGAACTGAAGTTGGCCATGTGGGAGCCCAGTGTCTTAACTACCACGCTACCTGCCAGCCCCAAGTTATTAATTTCTTAAACCTAGTGTTTGATATTTTTCTATTTCACCTTTGAACGTATCTATTTAAATGTATGAAATAAAATATGCAGGATCAGGAATGGTGGTGTGGTTTCATGAAATATTAATAGCTCAGATTGTGACTATCAGAGATGACTTAGGTTTCAGTAGTTCAGACTTAATCCATAAGCATGACCCACGAGGGCCTTAGTTTGCATTAGTTTACACAGAGCTCTCTAATGTCATTGAGGGTGGAGGGTGTGCTGAGTTACTTGACAAGGTAACTTGAGCTTGGGTTTGCAGGTTTTCACAACCTCAGCTTACTGCTGCAGTTCCCACTTACCAATGACTTGTTGATTTGCACTAGAAGTTCTTGTTTAAAACCTCTAAAGTGTGATGTGATGTTCCTAGACAAGGCATAAAATATGTCAGTACTATTCCACATTGAGAAGTGCTGATTTATACGTTGAGTACCTAAGTTCTTTTATTTTGGGGCCTAAGATTCCAAAGAATTATAAATTGCATTTTACAGTAGCTTCATAACATTTAGAGATCACAACTGTTATTAAGGACTTGAACTGTGGTCAGCCATATGGGAATTCCAGCGTCTTAACCACTATGCTACCTGTGAGCTCTTGGACACACTGATTTTTATCAAGTGGTGTGAGAGAGAGATGCCCCTAACATAGATAAAGGCAGATTGAAACTGTACATGGGGAGTATTTATAGAGTGATTACTGAGTTTTATTCTTTTTTTTTTATTTAGAATTATTTAATTTTATTTATTATTACTATTTTTTAATTTGACCAGAGAGAGAAAGAAGGAAAGTGAGAAAGCAAGCCACCACGTCCAGGACTTGAACTGAAGTTGGCCATGTGGGAGCCCAGTGTCTTAACTACCACGCTACCTGCCAGCCCCAAGTTATTAATTTCTTAAACCTAGTGTTTGATATTTTTCTATTTCACCTTTGAACGTATCTATTTAAATGTATGAAATAAAATATGCAGGATCAGGAATGGTGGTGTGGTTTCATGAAATATTAATAGCTCAGATTGTGACTATCAGAGATGACTTAGGTTTCAGTAGTTCAGACTTAATCCATAAGCATGACCCACGAGGGCCTTAGTTTGCATTAGTTTACACAGAGCTCTCTAATGTCATTGAGGGTGGAGGGTGTGCTGAGTTACTTGACAAGGTAACTTGAGCTTGGGTTTGCAGGTTTTCACAACCTCAGCTTACTGCTGCAGTTCCCACTTACCAATGACTTGTTGATTTGCACTAGAAGTTCTTGTTTAAAACCTCTAAAGTGTGATGTGATGTTCCTAGACAAGGCATAAAATATGTCAGTACTATTCCACATTGAGAAGTGCTGATTTATACGTTGAGTACCTAAGTTCTTTTATTTTGGGGCCTAAGATTCCAAAGAATTATAAATTGCATTTTACAGTAGCTTCATAACATTTAGAGATCACAACTGTTATTACTTGCTAAGCATTTACTATGCGTTAAATATTTTATATATGTTATTTTATTTAAAACGCACAATAACCATTTGAGGAAAGTGATTTGCCCCCATTTTGCAGTCCAGGAGATTGAGATTCAGAGAAGTTACGTCCCTTACCCAAGACCACATACTCACCTAGTAGGTGTGAAGCTGAGCTTCAAACCTGGGTGTCTCTGAATTCAGAATACATTTAAAAATTGGATAGTTCTTGGCCAAATTCACTTCTGAAAAGGGCGTCCCAATTTTCCTTCATCTTCATTACCACCAACATTTGCATTCTTGTCCATTGCTAAGTAAAGAATTACTAAAATTTATAGAAAACTAGTGGGACTGAATGGTGTTTCCTAGGTATTAGCCATTTGTCTTTCTCTGTCTGGAAACTTCCTGAACATACCCTTTGCCCATTTTTCTTTGAGTTTGTATTTGTTGTGTAGGCCAAGTGATATATTTCAAGTCTCTATAACTTTAGAAGGCGAAGAAAAGCAAGAGTTAGTTGTGGTTGTGCTGTTTTATCCAGCTCTTCTCAAGAGCTGCAACAGCCTTAATTCTAAACAAGTGGCCATATATCGTGAGTGTATTTCACATGGAGAATCTTTGGATTAGCATGGTACCTGCTAATTCCTGTAGATTGCCTATTTCTGTGTGTGTTGTCCTATTATTTATCCCAAGGTGATAGAAGAAATTCATGAATTCCTTTTGTTTCTTCTTCAGGTTTGCCTGCAATGAGATTTGCTTCTCTCCGTTTAAAGGATATCCTTTCTGAGCTGCTGTGAATAAATTTGGAATGATACTGTATATTTTCGTCTAATGGAGAATTAGCTGCATCTTGAATAAGGATTGCTGCACTGGGCAACTTCAGAACGTTACTCACCATGTCGTCGAACAGGAGTCAGAACCCGCATGGACTGAAGCAGATTGGCCTTGACCAGATCTGGGACGACCTCCGCGCTGGAATCCAGCAGGTGTACACCAGACAGAGTATGGCCAAGTCCAGGTACATGGAACTCTACACGTATCCTCCCGATGAGCCAGAGCGGGTTCCGAGGATTTGGGCTGTTTGCTAGTGTGATCTGTGAATTATTAGAAATTTCACATTATGGTTTCTCTTCCCAGTTCATACTGCAGTATAATCTCAAGAGTTCATTTTTAGCTTTTTAATTTTTTTGACTAAAGGTAAAATTGGCTAGTTAGTAGTCTGGTGCAGCGCTGGTCAGCACAGTAGCCTAGTCACGTGTGGCTGTTTACATGTAAAGTCATTTAGAAATTCAGTTCCTGGTGGCAGTAGCTATAGATCAAGTGCTTAAACATGAGATAATAGTCTTTTTGTCATTGTGGGAAGTTCTGTTGACAACGCTGGCCTGAAGCAGGTGATCGTTTGTTTATGTATTGTCTATATCTACCTTAGCGTTTGGGGACAGAGTGATGAGGTTGTATCAGATACAGTCTGGTCCACAAACGCTGCAGCATTTGCTGTCTGGCCCTTTATAGGAAAAGTTTGCTGACCTGACCTAAAGAGATAGCACATAGACCAAAAATTTTACCGTTATAGTCCTGTAGTACAAATACATTTTTATAAGAGTATTTCACTGTATTATTTGGTCCTTGGCATGTATGAGAGATTGTGTGCTGTATGCTACCAAAGTTATGAGGGATAAGAGAGGGAGCTCCTACTTTTGCATATTTGGAGACATACTATTTAACTCATTTTTAAAAATTACTTAATTTTATTTATTATTATTATTATTATTATTACTACTTTAAAAAAAATTTGTATAAGAGTATTTCACTGTATTATTTGGTCCTTGGCATGTATGAGAGATTGTGTGCTGTATGCTACCAAAGTTATGAGGGATAAGAGAGGGAGCTCCTACTTTTGCATATTTGGAGACATACTATTTAACTCATTTTTAAAAATTACTTAATTTTATTTATTATTATTATTATTATTATTACTACTTTAAAAAAAATTTGACTGGAAGGGACCAGCAGTTAGTGTAATGGCTGTGTCGCTGCACTCCCATGTAGCCGACCACGGTTTGAGTCCCGGATCCGGTGGCTTAAACTCACGCCGGGTGCGTGTGAGTACGTGCTCCAGTTCCCGAGAGGAGAATGGAGGAGAAGGGATTGTGGCGTGACCATCCCCCCTGGGGGTGATTTCTCGCTTTCTATCTCTCTGTTTCTCTCTTTCTGGCAAGCACATGTGCCCTATAGCAAAAACCTCTCAAAAAAAAAAAAAAAATTGACTGGAGAGAGTCAGAGAAAGAGAAAGTGAGAAAGCAAGCCACCAAATCCAGGACTTGAACCATGGTCAGCCATGTGGTAGTCTAGCACCTTAACCACCATGCTACCTGCCTGCCCCAACTATATAACTTCTAAAGATGAAGTTAAATTGAAAGTTACCTGCTAATGATAATGTATATGGTAATGTCTTTGACTTGACTAATATGCACTGTATTTATGATGGGAAAAACTGTGTTGTACACTGTAAAGATATATAGTGATTAAATGTAAATGTTAAAAAGGAAGTTAAATTGATTCCATACAAATAATAATCTTATAGGGGACCAGCAGTTGACATAATGGCTGTGTTGCTGGACTCCCATCTCCCATGTAGTCGACCACAGTTTGAGTCCCAGACCTGGTGGCTTAAACTCACGCCGGGCATGAGCGTATGCATGCCCAAGATCCCAAGAGGAGAATGGAGAAGGGATTGCGGCGTGGCCACCCGCCCTGGGAGGTGATTTCTTGCTTTCTGTCTCTCTCTGCCTTACTGGCATGCACCCCATAGCAAAAGCCTCTAAAAAAAAACTCTCCAAAAATAAATAAATAAATAAATAAATAAAACAAACTTGTAATTAAAGGTATGCTAACTCAATAGAGAACCAGTTAGTACTGATTCTAAGATGTTAAAGTTGCCAGCTTAATGGAGGTTTTCCATTCAATCACTGAACATGTTTATAGCATACAGTATGGTTTTCCAAAGTGTACGTGCATTGCATGTCAACCAAGTGAAAGATACTACCATACACATTGTCCTCAACAGGTAACTTTCTGTTCTTGTATCTGTTAAGCATTTTTCTTTTTTCTTTCCCTCAGCCCCTCCCTTCCATCCCTCGCCATCTACTCTTCTGTGCAGTCTCTGGTATCTACACTTGCTTTCCCTGCTTTTGTACCTTCCAGTCTTTCCATTTCTGCCATGGAGTGTAGACCTCAGTATGTGTCAGTGATTATCAGACTAGGTTTATGATATTATAGTATGTGGTCATATTTAAGAAACCTTAAAAGTTAACACTTTAGGGAACCAGTAGTTAGCGTAATGACTGTGTCGCTGGACTGCCACGTAGTCGACCGCGGTTCGCGTCCCGGACCCAGTGGCTTAAAACTCACACCGGGCGCGTGTGCGTGCATGCCCAAGATCCCAAGAGGAGAATGGAGGAGAAGGGATTGTGGTGTGACCATCCCCCCTTGGGGGTGATTTCTCGCTTTCTGTCTCTATGTCTCTCTCTGTCTGTCCGGCTATAGCAAAAACCTCTCCAAAAAAAAAAGTTAACACTTTAGATCTGATACTTTGTCTCTAAATTAACTTAAAATTTATTGTTTTGGATCAGCCCATGGCCTGGCGGTTAAGGCACTGGATCCCACATGGCCGACTACACACTTGGAGTTCATACTTTGCAGCTTGAGAGACATGCTGGACAGGTAGCACGTGCCCAAAGTCCTGAAAGGAGGGAGACACAGAGGAGAAGGGATTGCGACGAGTCTGCTCCCTGCCTCCCTCCCTCCCTCCCTCTCTCTCTCTTTGGCCAGTGCATGCACCCTCTGACTAGATTATAATTTTTTATTGTAGGAACACATATTGATATAAATACACTTATGCTGTAGAATACTTTTTTAGAAATAATTTTATTGAGATATAGTTCACATACTGTAAAATTCTCCTTTTAAAAGGTATACAATGACGTACTCTTTGTGTCTACAGAGTTTTGCAACCACCACTGTTGCCTAACTTTAGAATATTTTATCACCCCACTAAACTACCTTTTATGCTTCAGCAGTCACTCCCGTGTTCCCTTTGCACCAGCCCCTGGCAACTGTGGATCTTCCTGTCCCCCTGAATTTGCCTGTTCTGGACATTTCATATGAACGGAATCACACAATACGTGGCCTCTGTGTCTGGCTCCTTTGACTTAGCATAATGTTTTCAAGCTTCATTCCTGTAGCATACATTAGATTTCTTTTTATTGCTGAATTATGTGACTATTCTACATTTCGTTTATCCACTCATCAGTAGTGGATGTTTGGGTTATTTTTCACTTTCTGGCTGTTGTGAGTACTGTTAGAATGTTGTGTCCAAGTTTTGGTGGCTGTGTGTTTTCCATTCTCGCTGGTATATACCTAGGCGTGGAGTTGCTGAGTCATACTATGCAGGACATTTTGAAGGAAGACAGAATCTTCGCCAAGCGAGAGGATAGTATTGCAATTCGTTTCTGGCTTGTTGGATATCACCTTTTTTTTTTTTAAATTATTATTCTTAAAAGTAATTGAGCTAAAGATGGTTATTTCAGTGGTGAAACAAGACACTTAGTTGGATTTCTGTAGAAAAACAGAAGAGCACTGTTGTGGAGACCAAGGAAATATATTTGCTCATCTGTCTTGGGGGAATTTCTAAGTAGGTAATTTTGACTAAATCAGATCAGTCCCTTGGTAGAATGTTTTTGCTTGAAGGACCATAAGAAAATAGAGATTTTTTTGTATGCTTATAGAAATTACCGAGTCATTTTATTCTGTACATACTTATAATTTGTAGTTATTCTGATACATGTAACTTTAATTTTTTTAGGGCTGCCACTTTTAAATTGGATGTTAATTCTATTTTTTTTTCCTGAGCAGATAACACTATATATTTCTTAAAACTAGAGAATTTAAATGGAACCTAAAATGTTTTACTTTAATTCTTTAGATATTATTTATGAATAATAGTTGCAACTTGAGGGAACCAGCAGTTAGTGTAATGGCTATGTCGCTGGACTCCCACGTAGTCGACCGTGATTCGCGTCCTGGACTCGGTGGCTTAAAACTCATGCCAGGCGCGTGTGCATGCGTGCCCAAGATCCCAAGAGGAGAATGGAGAAAAAGGGATTGCGGCGTGGCCATCCCCCCGGGAGGTGATTTCTCGCTTTCTGTCTCTATGTCTGTCTCTGTCTGTCTGGCGAGTGCATGCGCCCTATAGTGAAAATCTCTCAAAAAAAAAAATAATAGTTACAACTTGAGCCTGTGTGTTAGGCATTGTGCTCTGGGCACCACCCACTTCTACGCCTGTCTCCTGAGGACTGGTGGCAGTAACCCTCTTCTAGATGTCCAAAGGGTCGGATAATGTGCTCTGACTATCCCAGAGGAGCACGCGAGACTAGAGAACAACCTTCTTCTAGATGTTAAGGAAATATTCTTGGGCCTTTAGTAATAGTAGATTTCCTTCCTTTTGAACTTGAAGTCAGTAGTGAAATTTCTTAAATTTGTTGACACAGTTATATTTCAGGGTCTTTGCCTGGCTCAGAAAGCACACGTGGGTCCTGATTGGTGGGTGGGCCTCAAGGGGGTGCTGTGAAGTGTGGGGTCCACCCTTGCTAGTTTAGGTGTCAGGACACTGCTGGAGGTTTTTGTTGGGCCCTGGATCTCCTTGCTCCTCTTTTCCAGGTCAGAACTCTTTGTGTAGTCATCATGCACCACAGGAGTCAGTTGAGGGCCTGCCGATGGTGTGGTGGTGAAGGCAGCTAGATCCCGCATGGCCAGCTCCGTGGTTCTAGTCCTGGCCCTGGCCCTCTGGGCATGTGTGCGTTTGTGTGTGTCGGAATCCTAGAGGAGAAGGGATTGTTGCATGGCTATCACCCTGGGGGATGTCTTCTCACTTTCTTTCTTTCTTTCTTTGGCAAGTGTATAACCCTATAGCAAATTTTAAAAAGAAAGAAGGAAGGAAGAAAAGAAGGGAAAGGAAAAGAAAGGGAAGGGAAAGGA